TACGCCCACAAGATAGGGGAAACGTTTTAATAACACATGCCCATAAATCTTAAAGATTTTCTTCATTAGAATGATTTGACCCATTTCAAAGTAATATTTCTGCCTCTTGGGGCAGTATAGTGTTTATTGAATGATGCATTTGATCATATAGATAGAAATATTTCAAGATCTGTAGTGGACATGTCAACATTATAACAAAAAAATTTCTCGCTAGGGTTGACCTAGTTAATTTTTATATCAAAATTTAGTCCAAAATTTGAACATAATTAATTTTTTGGTTTGGGTTCGGATTCGATCCGCCAACCCAAAATTGACATGAAACTGATTCACCAACCCAAAAGTGACTTGAATCTAACCCGTCAACTTGAATTTGATCCAAACGTGATTTAAAAGTAACCTGAACTTGATTCGAAATCACAGCAAATTTGGCAATAACTATTATGTATATATTTAACAAGTTATATGTGATGAGTTCGAGTTAGTTTGGTTGAAAGCCAGTAGGGTTTGAGCTACTTTCTAACCCATTTAATATTTGGGTTGGTTTTGAGTTGAAAAATTTGGGTGAAGCCGATTTGACACCCGTAGTAAAAAGTTTATACAAAGATATCTTATTTTGAGTATTTTTTTTAAGTATCTTCATAACCATCACAAAAAAAATATGAACTTAAATGCTAATCTTTGATGTCAACCCATGATAGTTTATTTCTTTTAGATCACTTTACAACTTTATCCGAGTACTAGTCAGTGCTCCATATTAATAGTGCCACTATATCTTTGATTCTATCTCAAAGCACATCAAATCAATTCCGATGATATTTAGATTATATGCCTTCTATCGAGATCAACATAAATGTTTAATTATAGATATTTTTTATAAATCTTTGTTAATTATCTTAGCACAGTTTTTTTTTTCTTAGTTGATCTTGGCATGAAATCAATTTGGTTCTAAAAAGTGGATGCACATTTTTTAAACTGATATTCAATTATTTGCTCCCATAACTTTATTGAATGAATCTCAATTGATTGGTCTATATTTAGCATGGGCTTATACATTGCTTTGGTTCATTAATATTGGTTATCAAAGTACTTACATATTTATTCTGATAATCTTTGTCTTGAAAACTCAGCTAAAAAATTAGTTAGGCTTCAGTGGACTCAATATTCTTCCGTGTATTTTTTTCAAAGCCAATTAGAGTTTTTGGAATCAATCTATAATATAGTTTACTATATTGTTTCTTAAGCTCTTCTACAATAATCTTTGTTATGAAATCTCTAGTTTATCAATTTCTCATTAATATTTTCTTCGTTCTTTTTTGTCTTTGTGCTTAATCAAGATTTTAATATCTCCAAGTGTTATTATTTCTAAATGATACCAAGTATAATAGGGGTAGATATTTCTTCAAAATTGCTTTTGCAAATTAACTGAAGCATCTCATGTAACAATTAAGATGATAAGCTTAGTGATCATGGATGAATTACAATCTTACGATGATCACTGGAAGGGTCAAACTTTTTCATGTTAAATTACCATATGATTTATTTTGGTCGTATTTGTGTAGTGATAACACTGCCATTGCCAGTCCCAAGCCCGGATGTGAAAAGTGGAGGGTTGCGTTAGATACTCGATAGCCAGCATAAAACTTGTTGAAAAAAAATCATGACATGAATCCTTTTGATCATTGCGAAAGTGCTGGGGCATCCCCTGGAAGCGACGCACTGTATAGCCTGAATGCAGTGAAAAGTGTGCAAGGGCCGCTACACCGACGCCCGGGTGTAGTGACAAATAAGCAAGGGTTCCCACATTACGGACGATTGCGGGTAAAAAAGTTAGTCCATGAAACTAATGAAACTATTATGAGGATAGGATAGGATCTTGGAATATAGGTACTCTCAATGATAAATTAGTGGAATTAGTTGATATTATGATTCATAGAAAAATTAATATTTTATGTATTCAAGAAATTAAATGGGTTGGAGAAAAGGCTAAGGAGATTGATAATTTATATTTTAAACTTTGGTATTTTGGTAAGAGTCGCACTAGAAATGGTGTAGTGTAATTATAGATAAGAGTTTGAAAGACAATGTTGTAAAAATTAATAGAGTTGGAGATAAAATTATAGCCCTTAAGATTATCATTGATACTAAGATTTTTAATATTATAAGTGCTTATGCTCCTCAAGTAGGTTTAGATACAGAGTCTAAAGATAAATTTTGTAATGACTTTGAAGACTTAATACAAATGATACCTCTTGAAGAAAGAATTTTTATTGGAGGAGATTTAAATGGACATGTCGGTAGAGTGGTAGAAGATTTCAGAAATACTCATGGTGGCTACGACTTTGGAGTAACTGATGAAGAAGGTAGAGCTATTTTAGATTTTGCTTTGGCGTATTATTACTAATACTTTATTCAAGAAAAGAGATTAGCATCTTATTACTTATAAGAGTGGATCTAATGAAACACAAATTGATTATTTTCTTATGAGAAGAAGAGATCGTCGAGATTGTAAAGATTGTAAGATCATTCTAAGTGAGAATTTAAGTACCCAACTTCGTTTATTAGTTCTAGATTTTAAGATGAAGAGTTGTAAAATTAGGAATACTAGGACTCATCATCGTAGAAAAGACAAATAAAATTATTTTTATGAGTAAAATTCAAGATTTCAAAATTTGGGATGTTTATGATGAAGCAAATATTATGTGGGATAAAATAACAAATACTATTAAACAAGTAGCAAAATATCTGCTTGGAGAGTCTAAAGAAAAAAAAATTATTAATAAAAATAGTTGATGGTGGAATAATAATGTGCATGAAAAGATAAAATATAAGAAGTTATGTTATAAAAATTGGTTTAAATATAAAAGCTTAGAGAATTAGGAAAAATATCAAACGAACTGTCGGGAGTCTAAAAGAACAATCTGTGACGCAAAAAATTCTGTTTTTAATGACCTTTATAATATATTAGATACTAAGGAGGGTCAAAAATATAAGTATAAACTAGCCAAACAAAAAGAGAAAAGAAAAGTAAAGATTTAACTCAAGTAAAGTGTATTAAAGATGAAAATCAAAAAGTACTTTTCTTAGAAAAATATATTCAACATAGATGAGTGAGTTATTTTGATAAATTTTTTAATGAAGTTTCTGAAAATGCGATCGACCTTAGTGATCTTAATATCATGAATAATAATACAACGTTTCATTTTTACCGTTGCATTAGTAAAAAAGAAATTGAGGAGGCTTTAAAGAAAATCGAGGATGGAAAGTTTGCAGGACCTGATGATATCCCAATTGAAGTGTGGAAATATTTAGGAGATTTGGGAGTTTCTTGGCTTACTAAACTCTTTAATATTATTTTAAACACTGAAAGATGCCTGAGGAGTGGAGGAAGAGTATTTTGGTCCCCATTTTTAAGAATAAAGGAGATGCACAATTGTGTGCAAATTATAGAGGAATTAAGTTGATGTGTCATACTTTAAAGTTATGGGAGAGGGATTGAAAACATAGGTTAAGACGCATCACAAAAATTTTTCATAATCAATTTGGATTTATGCCGGGCAGGCTTACTATGGAAGCTATACATTTATTGAGGGGTTTGATGGAGAAGTTCATAGATAAAAGGAGAATATACATTTGATTTTTATTGATTTAGAAAAAAAATACGATAAGGTTCCAAGAGTTATCCTTTGGAGAGTTCTTGAGAAGAAAGGTGTTGATATGACATATATTCAAGTCTTTAAAGATATGTATACTAGAGCTGTTACTTGTGTTCAAACTGAAAGAGGATTGACCAAATATTTTCCTATTTCCGTTGGATTACATCAGGGATCAGATTTAAGCCCATATCTTTTTGCTTTAGTTATGGATGGTCTTACTCGATATCTACAGGAAGATGTACCTTGGTGTATACTATTTGCTGATGATATCCTTCTTGTGGATAAAACGAGAGAAAAAGCCTAGGAAAAACTTGAATTATGGAGGTCTACGTTGGAGTCTTAAGGCCTTCATTTAACTAGAGCTAAAACTGAATACATGGAATGTAATTTTAGTAGTAGTAGCTCTAGTGACAGAAGTGTGACTTTGGGTGATCACATTATTAAAAGTTATGAACGATTTAGATAACTTGGGTCCATTGTTCAAAGCGATGGTGATATAGATGGGGATGTTAATAGTAGAGTTCAAGTTGGTTGGTTGAAGTGGAGGAATGCTTCGGGCCTTTTGTGTGATAGAAAAGTACCACTTAAATTGAAAGGAAAATTTTATAAGACGGTGGTGAGACCTGCAATGCTTTATGACGTTGAATGTTGGCCTTTAAAATAGAAGCATAATAATAAGTTAAGTGTTGTCGAGATGAGACTGATTAGGTGGATGAGTGGCTTTACACTTAGAGACAATGAGAAATGAATATCTCCATGATAGCGTTGGTGTAGTTCTAGTGAAAAACAAAATTAGAGAGAGTTGTCTCAGATGGTTTGGTCACATTAAACGTCTACCATCTGATGAACCGATTAGGAGAGTAGATGTTTTAGATTTGACTTATGTTAAGAAAGGCAGAGGTAGACCTAGGAAGACTTGGGCTTATTGTATAAAAAATGATCTTAATTTACTAGAACTAAGTGAAAATATGACACTAAACAGGAAGCAATGGAGAAAAAAGATTCATGTAGCCGACCCTACGTAGTGGGATTAATGCTTTGTTATTGTTGTTGTTGTTGTATTTGTGGAGTGATATTGTTCTTTGAACTTTGAACAATTCAAAATTAAACTTGATTAGGTTTTTTTCATATCTATGTTGTCTATTTGTAAAATTTATCCATTATACACTTCGATTTGGTTCAAAGATTTGAATTACCACAGAAAAAGTTTGTGAAATTAGTGCAAAAGAATAATCGCGCAAAATTTAGTACTCACTCGAACGACATTTCTCATAATGGACCTACAGGCGGTTGAAGCTTGGAATTCCTGTTGTACCATAGTTGATTTTCTTTGATTTATTTCTGCAGGTGTCCTTTGTAGAATCTTGGTTATTATCACTGAATCCAATGAAGAACTTGTTCCTCAAAATTGCACGGAGTTCTAGCAACCCTCTGAGAAGATTTGCATATTTTTTTGGAGACCACTATGATTTAAGGAAAAAGCTGCAAATTGTAAATCTTCTCACTGGGTAATGTTATTTCTAATCAAGTTTATTTCTCATATGAGGAGAGCATTTTCTGAAGCATGTAAATTTTACTGCTCTGCAGGTATATATTTCTGCTTGATGGATATGGAAGAATCAGGTGGCAAGGTTTTGGATCCGCTACACCAGAAGAAGTTTCATCCCTTGTATCAAGTACCTCCCTTCTCTTGGAGGAGTAACAGTTCTGTTTGTTCTTATTTGCTATTCTGGTAGTTTTTCAATATATATATATATTACTTTTAATTCTTTGGTAGTCTTTTAAGTTGCTATAATTTTTTCGCATTCGGGCTGCTTCAATTTTGATTCTAAATAACACTTTGTAGCAACCATTTTGGCTTTCTTGCAATAATTTCGTTGATTCCTCAACTATCATGACTCTTCTATTTACTCGATCCATATTTTTTTTGCATGTATATTTTTCAGTCCACTATGCATTTATTGGACATGTATCATTTTATGGATTTAGGTTTCTAGTTTCATGTTATGTTTTGTTGGAATGAGTGATAGTATCATCTGCAATGATATTTTCATTGTATTTTACAGAAAAAGGGGTCGTTATAGAGGGCTCCCGATCCTCTAGCTGTTATTCATCTGGATTAATTGTATACTACGCTAAGTAAATGTAAGAATTCTGGACAACCTCTCTTCCGACTATATTTGAAATATAACAGTTCAAGTTTGAGTCTTCTTAACTTTCGAGCAGAGTAAACTTTAGAATCTACTCTAGTTAAGTTTGTCAATTAAAAACATTTTCAAAAATTAATTTTACTACCATTGCTACTGCTGCTGCTGATAACAACATTAATAATTGTAATTATAAATATAAAGGATAATTAGAGGCTCCTCCCGATCTAGATGATGTGCAAGTCCTTTGTGAGATGGTTTGGCTTTATAATCAGATCATTTTCTTCTTAATTTAAGAGACATCATCATCATTTTTCCGGCATCGGTAAGGCTCATTTCTATTAATTTCGCCCAAATGAGGTCATAGGGAATTAGATATTTCTTTCTCTTAATTGGGGCTCTTCAGATTTCTTGTATGATGCAGCACACAGATTGTTGACAAGGGATCTCTAGTTTAGTTGGGTCTGCTATTTTCACGACCAAGTAGACATAGAGTTTTAATAGCCTGTGATGACAGGTCAATAGAATCTTTACTCGACTATATCTTCCTGATTAGGAACTCCTCTCATGTTTATTGAGTTGTCCCTTTTAGGCCCATTTGCTTTCTTTAACATATTGTTAATGTCATTTCATAGGCTCCATTTGTTGATATACCGCCACCCATTTGAGATAATGATGATTTATCATCTACCCTTTGACTTGATATAACTTTGAAGCATTGGGATGATCCTTTTGAGATGACAACATTAATCCTTGATATTCCCATTAATTAGATATCATATATAAATAATATCTTTTTAATCAAGAGTATTCTTTAGTATTCCCCCAAGATGTAATTAGCCAAAGAGATATGTTCCTTTAGGAGTTGTTCTTTATCTCATAATAAAAATAAAACTTTTGGTTCTCTGGTTATATTTGAGGGTAATTTCTATAGGATTTTCTTTGTAGATATGTTTTCAAGGTTTTCTGACCTAATTTTATTTGGGGCGCATATTTTTGGTCTATCACATGAAGGCTATCTTATTGAAATTCTCCAAGTTCTTATTTTTTTTTTGTTTGTCTAATTTCATTGTATTTTCTCCTTTCTCTATTTTTCTTCTTCTTCAATCATTTCAGTGATCTAAGAAAGAATGTTATTGGGAAATAAAATGTATAAAATAAAATTAGATAAGCTGGTGACTTTCAGTTAAAAAGGACCAAAACATATCTTACAACTATGTTATGGAGTAGACTCTCCATTTTAGGAGTCTTGTGTAACTGTGGTGTCCAGTTATTCGTCTTTGTGTCATTGTTGTTATCACTTGACCTTAGAATTCAATCTTTGTGCTAGTTGTTATGATTATCAACATGATGCTATTCTGTCCCTTTCGTACTCTCCACATTTTAGTTATTAATTTTTCATAAGTAATTAGTGTTGTTGTATACTTTGATTATATCGTGAGCCTTTTTCTTAAATTTGATGGTAGTCTTATCTTATCTATAGAAAATAGATGTCCAAAGAATGATTATTATAGAATCGTTTGAGGGGACACTGCTTCCATCACCTTTAACTCCTTCAAGAATTTTGTTAAGATTACCCTCTGTAATCTTATGCCCATCGAGGCATCTGCCATGTACCCTCCCCAAAAGAAGAGGAGTTGTGCATATGGAACTTCTGTTGTTGTGATTGGTTGTATTAGTACTACCCCTACGTCAAATAAGAGACCAGTACCAAATGGCTATGCACTGCAATGTCCTTGTATTTTCACTAGACTATCTGTTGGTCTTTCCGTGTTTTCTAGGTTATTTACTCACACGATCGGTGCACCACTTGCTAGCTCTAAGGGTGCCCTATTTACTTCTATTGGTGCACTTTTGGTTGGTTCGACTGTTGTCCCAATTCTTTTGTTCTAGGCCTTTCTGAGGCTTCTCCTACCCACAGATTAGGCAAAAGGGCTTGAAAATCTAGGAATAGGTTATTGCGGGCTCAACGACGAGACCAACAACAGGTCCCTTTAGTTTTTCAACTTAGGAGAATTTTCAAATCCCTCTTTCTTAAAATCGTTTTTCTGTATTGTTTGACTATGTAGACTATATTCCAGTCAGAATTGCTAGGAGATCTCCTCCTCGAGATGCAGATCATGCTAAACCTCTGGTCTGTATTAATGACACCATTACTAATCTTCTGACTAAATAGATCATAGGATAGTCCTATCACTGAGGAGAAATTTCTTGCTTAGATTTCATAAACATCTCACCAAAAAGTGACGCACGAGTTTCTCCATTTCCCACACTACCAGGGTCATCATAGTAGGAGACTAGGAAATTTTCACAGGTCCATTGCGAGTCCCAAATGTTTATCTTCCATTGTACAAACTGTCGTACCCACAAGATGTCGCATTGGACACTCTGTGTTGAATTTGAAGTTGTTGTATCAGATACTGTACCAAATATTAATGTACCTTTAAAGAATAAAAAGAAAAATATTTTGAGCTACTTTTCGTCTTTGAGCAAGAATATTTAGTATTATGATAGAGAGAGACTCGAGGGATGCCTCTGTCGGTACTCACGTTTTTCTTTTAAAAATATATGCGTGAAAAAATAATTATCATCCTGTCTTGGCTAGGAGGTGATGGGTCAGGAAGATTCATATTGCCTCACCTTTTGATGCCTTGGCTTCAGTTAAGGAGGTGATAGAAATAATTTTGGAAGGAACTGTACCTCTAGTTTATCTTATCTTAGATTCACCTTAGGTGAACCCGAGGTAGAATCTGAGATAGATCTTGAGGGTGACCTCCTTGGTTTGTCAAAAGTTTTTTTGATGATGACAACCTCCTTAGAGAGAAATTTCATGATGATAAAATGACTTCTCATTATGTTATGACAGTAACCACTAGGATATGAAGGCCTATTGTTGAACATCTTGCCCTTGCTCTTGATCTCGAGGAAGCAGAACATCATGAGTTTACTGAAGTTCCGGATGTCACCACGATTGATATGAGGATAGAAGCAAAGATGAATATTTCACTCATCTCCAGAGGTAGATCACTATTTTAGCTATTCAATTTGTGACTTTGAAAGCCGATAGGGAGGGGTCCATTGTAGTCTCACCTCCTACACAAGATCCTACACAGGTTGAGATGCATTTGACTTTGCCTGTCGTACCTTTTATGTCTGCCACACATGTGCCAATTCATGTTTCTTCAGCTGATGCTGATCTACCAAAGTATTTTAAATCCGACCTGCATTTGCAACCTCTAGTGGATGTTAAGATTAAGACTGCTTTGGAAGCTCTGCAGGGGGTGATCATGGTGAAAAGTGGTCGGCCTTATCCAGAGGCATATAAATATATTTCTTTTCCTCGAGGGTTAATTTCACACTATGCTTTAAACAGTTTGATGGGGTTGGAAGCCCCAAAAAGCATACGTTCAATTTTGAGCTGTGTTGCGATGTGGGCTCATCACTTGTTTGACGGAATTCAATTTTGAATGGTATCCCAACTTACAAAATGGCTCCTTGAGAACACTCTTCTTGGAGGATGCATTCGTGAAGCAAGTTGTTGGAGCTTATCATCAGATCACTATGTGTGATTTGATGTTGGCACAATAAAAGTCCAACGAAACCTTGCTATATTCCATGCTTCGTTGAAGGAATTTGAACATAAAATTTAAACCTCGACTTCAAGAGTATCATGCTGTTTATTTTCTCTTGTGCATGATAAAAGACCCAATATCGGTTTTATTAAAAATATTCTTGATCAAGACCTTTACGATATTGATAGAAATAGTCGCAAGCTTGCAGGATATTACAGGGCCCTTGGTCTTTAAAGAAGAAAGCGATAAGACCAGGGGTTGAAACCTTTTTTTTATGAGTCCTTAAGATTGTAGAAATCTTCCTATATCTATTGTGGATACACAAAAAAACCCCACCAAGAATTTTAAAGGCATATTTAAAAAATAAATGGTATTTAGAAAATTCTTGAATTTGTAAATAACGACTTATTTAGAAGAAGATTCTATAGATTCAATAGCAGCCATATGATTGAAACGTATTAGCTCAATCATAATGGGGATGTCACTATTATAAATAGGTGTGATGTGTTTGAGTTTGTATCAAGAAGAAAATAAAGTGAAATGGAAGTGACTTTCAAGTTGCTATCTTCTTTCTTTACATTCCTCTTATCATAATAGTCTTTTGTTTCTAACAAAATGATTTCAAAGCCATAAAAAGATTCCTTCTAGGGATATAGAGAGCAACAATATGATTCCCTTTCAAGTCCGAATGCTTAATAAGAACAACTACAGGAATTGGAGCATCATGTTGAAGGCCCTCATTGGAACATGAGTTATATGGGAGATGGTAAGGGAAAGGCTACAATTTTCCAGGAGATGAGTCTAGTTTATCCCAAACACAAAAGGGTGCCTAAGAGATTAGAGAAAATAAAACAAGACGGCTCATCATCTAATCTATCAAAAATAAGTTGATGGCGATTTTGCAAATATTTCATATGTAAAATTTGCCAAGAAGGCATTAAAGAAGATTCAGATCTCTTATAAAAGTGCGAAGCAAGTCAAGAAAGTGATTCTTTAAAAATTAAGAGGTAAGTTCGAAGCCTTACATATTAAAAAGTTGAAGTCTTCTTAGACTACTTCATGAGAGTCTTACCGGTTTCTGATCAACTGATAAGAAATGGGCAAAGCAAAAACATGTAAGGATTATTGAGAAGATTCTTCGATCTTCAGATCCAAAGTTCGATCATATTGTCGCTATCATTGAAAAAAGGAGAGACTTGAAGTCTATGACAATCGAGTAGCTTCTGGGCTCTTTACAAACCTATGAAGAAAAAAAAAACGGAGAAACAAGGCATCACAAAAAGTCTTAAAATGCAACTTAATTCAACTAAGAAAGAGAGCCTCAAATATGAGAGAAGTCAACAAGGAAGAGGTCAAGGTCGAGGACAAGTCCGTAGTCATGGACATGGAGATGAGGTTGGAGACCCAACAAGGACAATATTAATAATAAACAATTTTGGATGAGGAGAAATAAAGACAAGAGGG